TTAGTAGGGAACTAGTGAAAATTACAAAAGTATCTTACCACAAGGGATAACAAATCCAGCACAGAGTTTCCCAGACAGGAATCACACAGACGGGAATTACCAGGGACGTGTTCTTATTTTAACCTCTAGCCATGCACTGTTAAAGGGCGAATTGAAAAGAAAACGAAATACGTAAACATAACAACCATTGGTATGAACGAAACCAAGCAACTACTTACGAGTCGAAGATAATGGATCCACAAAACTAATTTATCCAATGTCAATTCGAACCGGCAAATGACAAGAAGCAACAAATGAACTTAACTTTTTCATTCGACCTTTCAAAGGTTTATAGACACAGCCTAGCCTTCAGAAAAACAACAATTTAGATAAAGTGACACGGTAAGGCTGTAAATTCGAACTGTTTTTCACTTTCATTATTCATATAAATCATTATTTAATAAATCCAATGATATAGAAAAAAACATAACGGAGAATAATTCAATCATGAGCAAAGAAAAGGTCACGTCTTTATCTGTAATTAATTGGAAAAGAAAAATGCTGATTATTTGACTTTGTATAGATATTTCTTATTATCAAGTTAAGCTCCGAAATAATTCATTTGCGTTGATGAATACACAAATTCCTTCGCGAAACGACGGAATGGAATAAAAATGAGGAGCAATCAGTGAAATCGTTAAAAGTTAAGACCTTACAAACCTCGAAAACACTGCAATTTGTTTGAAGAAATTTACCGGCCTCTTTTGTTTATTTATTTCACAGGAAAACTAACACCAAATTGTAATATTGTACAGGGTATAAAGATCGTAATAGAAAGCTAAAATCGAGTATTCACGAATAATAAGTAGCCACGAAAGAATTTTAGGTAATGTTACATATTATGTAAATAATAACACTAGAATGGTGCCAATTAATGATAAAAATGCAATAGAAATAACGAAGATAGGTAACGAGATTTTTGCGCCGTTAGTTCATCAGCTTAGCTTAGGTGGTAAAGCCTCTGGACACGTCAAGAGTTGTGCGCAATGATATTATATACAAGAAAGAAAACAAAAGACAGTATAAGACCAGAACAGACCAGAGCCTAGTAATAGTCAGAAGAATAATACTTGTTTTATTTAAAATAGTTTTGCACTATTAATAATGTCGATGTATACCACCAGTTCTGTAATTTAGCAACTAAAACTCTACTTGCTTAAGCAATGAATTACTGCAGAAGAATGAAAACACGACAAGAGTATGTTGGCAAAGAAAACAACAGCAAAGAAAACAGGGGACCGGACGTAACGACTTGGCGAATGCTAGACAATTACGCGGCGAAGAAAATTTTTCTCCCGTCCGCTTAAGATATTCTAGGTCTGCGGTAATTTTTGAATTGTTTCAAGCAACAACATCTGCTCCAGATTCTTGAGATACGGAACAATAATGGCTGTGGAAAAGTTTTCTGTCGAGACAAACATCACAATATCTCGTATGGCGACACAATTTCAAAACATCGAGGCTCAGTTAAGGTTAATTTTGAGGTTAATTTTTAATTGAACCAGAATATTTAATTAGATTTCTTTAAAATGATACTCCTTTTAGATATCTGAGATCACCGCCATATCAGCGAGTTCTAGAGAAAAGTAATGTCTATCCTTCTTTTTCTTTAAGTACGAAGCTTGTTGGAAAATCTAAAGTGATATAAAAAAACAGACCCTCACATAACTTGACCATTACTTTGGTACAAGAAGGAAAAGTAAACGTAGTAAAAGTAAAGTAACAGCTTATACAATGATGTCCCACTGCTGGGCAGAGGCCTCTTCTTGGTTTTTGGTTATAATTTTGGAACATTTTTCTTAATAACAAAAAATAAGTTTCCTCGAGATGTTTTCCTTAATCGCTGAGAACTTGGTAAGTCAGCACTAAAATTAAAAATTTCATTGGTGCCGACATCGGGGATTGAGCTCAGGTTGCTCGAGTATATTGAATTAGAACCCATTGTTTCGTCTACAAAGAGTAAATAGGTCGTCCACGGGGCAAAGTGTGCGCCCTCACAATCGATATTAAGTCTGCCACTTGCTCAAATTAAACGCAAAATTGAAAGTAAATTTATATATATTTACTTTTAATTTTCCGTGGTATACCATACGGAATATCTTGATGACCCCAATATGTGGAGTTAATACTGATGACACTCAGGTAGGCTAAAATAAGACATACCTGCACCATTATATTGTGAACTAATCTTTTTAATATAGAGCAACTGTTGAGTTTCTTGCCGGTTGCCGGTCTCGACAGAAACTGCTTTTAGAACCAGTGGTAACTACGGTACTACGTTCGTAGTATTATTTTTTATGTAAAAATTTGACGTTTCATAAGAACTGCAAGAGTCAATGTGAATAAAGACATGAATTTTGAAAAGGGAGCGGCCGAATAATGAACTATCACAGCTTACGGAGCACACACGCTAAACTTACTTGTTTAGCGTAACCATTCTTACGAGCGTACATATACACATACACTCATATATACACTTTGTTAAGTGCGCACACACTTTTATTGTTCAAGATCCGTTTTATTCATTCAAGCTGTATCATTATGTAATAAGCATTACTAATGTACTTGTAACTTACTATTTATACGAGCGGTCTCTATATACAACTTTGGACGACGCTGTGAAGTGTTGTGACCAGTTATTTATTTTTATACATATATATATATAATTGCCGTCGGACCTCTGATTATTGCCAATACATAAAACTTTTATGGACAAATATATGTTTTACTTCCACGGTGGAAATCTACTTTCAAGTTTCATGAACAGGTCTTAAGTACACTACTATCTAGTAGTCTATCTATATAGTACTCTACATCTATGGCTCTACATAATATGGAATGAAGGCATCTGTTAGTTAGTCCTTCGCCTGAAGTCTGTTGATGTAGTTTGAGAACTAACACGGAATTCGAAAGCGCATGTCTTGTGACTTTTGATTGCAACTTACATGCGGTTAACATTAATTACCACTTGAAGTTTAAATCTCGTAGCGTATGTACTTTACACTTGGAATGAAAAACGCACGTTGCTGCTTGATTGACAAGTCTATTTTTTTTTTATTAACTAAAGACAAAACCGACTTCCAATATCTCGTTCTGTATCCATTTTATAATTGATTTCCAGGAGTTTCCTAAGTATCAAGAGAATTATTGAAATATTATTGCAGTTCTTATGAAAGAAGAGATTATTAATCAAGAGTTATTATAGCATACACGAATATTTAAGCGTCTAACAAACACTACTCTTATATACTCAAATATTCTATATTATAAAAATTTTTGATTGTGAAATTATGTTATATTAATTTATTATATATTGTTAATGTTATGTTTATAAATGTAATTAAATTAATATTAAGTTCAATGGATATTGCACGCTTAATTGTCAAAAAAATTTATTTGTATTTTAATTCTAATTAATTTAATGCTAATTGTATTTAAGTCTTAACATTTTTTTACTATTGCTATGCCCTAGCAGGGTCCATGATGATTCTTAATTTTAAATCTTTACCACCTAAGCTACATTGTGGAATGCAAATAAAGAATAAAGATAAAGATGTATCTCCGGAGCCCAAGGTCCAATACCGAAGCAATTAATATGAGACTACTTGGGAAGCACGAGCTTCCAAATAAAAAAAAGAATCATCAATTGAGAGCTATGAGGTAACAAATATAAAAAAATACATTCGAATCATTAAAAACGGTGAAGAATACTGAAATTTGATTTTTAATAGCCTATACATATCATACCTATAAAATAACTTGGAAATATAATATATGGCATTTTTTTTACAAACCATAATATCACTTTTTATGTGAGGAAGTGGCAAACGAGCTGTTTACCTGATGTTAGGTGATAACCGCCTGTTCATGGACATTTGCAACACCCGTAGGGTTACAGATGCGTTGTCACCTCTTAATAATGTGGGTACAGTGTGTGTACAGAAGTGTAACAATTCTACTTCACGCCGGTCTACTGTGAGGTCGTGGTACTAACCCGGACGGACCTGCTCACTCGTGCAACAGCGAACACTTTTGCGTGGCCCCACCACCGTTAAAACATACAACACCGTTTTACATGAACGTTATAAAATCCCTTTAATTAATTAATGTGCTTTTCAGATTCTATAATTTCTTATGTTTAAGCGAAATACTACACATTACTAAATGAACTTTTGTAATATTTTTATGGGTTCATTTAAATTATAAAGAACCACTTAAACTATAAGAGAAAATTCTATTTAATTACCGTTACTTTGACTTAGGTAAAGTCGAAGAAATACGAAGGTAATTATATATGGGATATAAAAATTACACTTTCACCGAAATATGCCATTATTGGTTTTAGATAACATACAAATTGTAAGAAAAAACATTAATTAATTTCGCTGTGGGGTAGTATGGTGGACTAAGACCTAATAGCCTATGTACTCGTATAGAGGAAGCATATCCTATGGTAGCCTATATATTCGTATTTAGGCATACATAGGTTGTTACTTTACTTTTACTTACAAACCCTTATTAATTGCACATGTAAGGTGCGCTGAACATCCTAATAAAGTACCCAGAACTCGGTTAACCGTGTCAGGGCCTCGCAGCAGTTTCGGCTGTTGCACGAATGGATAATTACCACGGCCTAACAGAAAACCGACGTAAAGTGCAAGTATAACAAATATTTTCACGTTTCGTCTGTGAGTGAGGTAGCTGGAACCCATTGTTCAAAAGGTTGTCAATGCATCTGTAACCCTCGGGTGTAGTAGATGTCCATGGGCGGCAGTATTCACTTAACATCAGGTGAACCGCCTCCTCGCATGGGAATTGTTCACATAAAAAAACTCGGTAGTCAGAATCAAAATAAAAATAATTTGTTCAATTCAAAATCAACCACCGCCACCGGTCGTATAATTTAGTAAACGATATTCCGTGGATAAAAAACTGCATTAAAAAGGGAATATAACAAGAAAATGTTTGCAATGGCAAAAGAAGACAACAACAAACTAAAACGACACAGGAGGTAACGACTTAGTGAAAGCATAACAAATATGCGGTGGGGAAATATTTCTTTCATCCTAGCGCGCTAAAGATATTCTAGGTCTGCGCCCGTTTTTGTTTTTAAAAGTTATTTCTCCGCTCCAGATTCTTGAGAATACAACAATAAAAGTGTTGGAAAATTTTCTGTCGGGGAAAATGATACATTTTAGTTAAGATTATTACTAAACAGTAATTTATCATTGGATATCATCAAAACGATAACTTATGTTAAATATTTTCCTGTTTTTCCATACAATAAATATTATAGGAAAACGACGATCTTCATACAATTTAGTACAGTAAATGTAATTCTTTGTGTTTTATTATGTGCTGTAAAATCTTAGCGAACATAATGAGCTATTGTGTTCTATTTTTGTGTAATGTTCTCATTAAAGTTTCTAAGAAAATTGTATAAGGGAATTTTTTGATATTTACATATATATAATTAAAGTATAATTTTGGCGCAAATTCTAATATTTAAAATTTCATTTTACCGACAAATATAATTAGCCTTAGAAGACGTAAAACAAATAACGAAATAGGCAGATATAATTTCATCATCATCATCATCATACCAGCCGTAGGACATCCACTGCTGAACATAGGCCTCCCCCATTGACTTCCACTTCGACCGGTCGTTAGCGGCCTGCATCCAACGCGTCCCTGCGATCTTGGCTAGGTCGTCCGTCCACCTTGTGGGAGGCCTTCCTACGCTGCGTTTGCCGTCACGTGGTCTCCACTCGAGAACCTATAATATGATAAAATATGATATAATTTATGCTTAAGAAATTACAGGATGTTTTGCGAGAAGGTGGAAACCGACCTGGTACCGATGTTACATAATAACCGCCGCCCATTGAAAATTACAATACACGTGGGGCTACAGATGCGTTGCCACCTTTTAGTAAAATGGGCCCCGGCTACCTCACTTACACGATGAAACGCAAAAGTGTAACACGTCCACTTCACGCCGGTCTTCCGTGAGGCTGTGGTGAGACTCCAAAAATTGATAAATTTTGTTAATGTAGTTAACATTTTCAAGATTGGATTACATTAATTGATTTAGTATTATTTAAAACTTTTTATTGCTAATAGAGTTTTTTAAAATCGGATCATAAACGGCGTCAAAATGAAACCGGGACTGAAAAAGTTTTCGCAAATCTGTCTGTATATGACGGAACTATGGCCGAACATAAATTTAAAAAAGGCGCCTGAATTGATAACCCGAGTCTTCAAATCGGCACACGTGTGAAGAATATGGCTAGATTTTTTTACGACCAGCCTGTTGTCAACCCTCCTTGGGAATAAACACCCAGATCCGGAACAGTTATCTGTGGGTCACACAAGTATTTGTCCCGTGTGGGAATCGAACAGACGACCACAGCGGGCCGGAGCTAAATAGCACAACAAGTGCACCACCGAGTAAGGTAACAAAGGTAACCGAATTTTAGCAGCTCCTCCTTTTTTGAAGTCGGTTAATAGGCAAATACTTAATTACACATTAACTATAATTAAATAAGAGTTCGACAACCTTTACTTAAGGGCTCCTCAACAGCATAGTAAAGGCGAACGGGTTCAAAGTGGGCACTCATAACCCGTCCGTGTCCTATCTCGGGAAAAGCGACCTAATTCTTGGAGACTAGTTATCTCCGATAATGCTACAGCAGCGAATATCGATCTCATGGTGTTACAACCTATCATATTTTATATAAGACGTGCTTTCGCTACTTTTTCGACTTGTTTGGCACATGGCACTAAGCCTATCGTTTCAAATAGTTAATGGTTGGTAGATCTTTATAAAGGTGGAAAACATCCACTTAATTATGAGGTGGCAACGCTTCTGCAACCCTACAAGTGTTGCAGAAGCGTGGCGGTGGCTATTATTTAACATCAGGTGAACCGCCAAGTTAGCCAACTTCTCACAAAAAATTTAAAATGGAAATTCTGTAATTTATTAAGCATAAATTATATCCTGGCATGATGGCTTGACGGTAAAGTGAAATTTCGCATATTCGAATCGAAGGCTACTACTCAACATCCGGTGAGCCGCTTGCTCGCTTGCCACATTCTCACATAAAAAAGTACCTTGTACCAATATTTTTTTCCTCATTAACCCAGACTAAAAGTGCTGCTTATTATTACTTAAGATATTAATATACGACTTTACTTATGCCTCTTATTAACTTATTACGTGTTTAGTTCGCGATCGCTGTCCAGTACTTTGTCATCTGGATTGATCGATTAATTAAGGCCAAAAAAGCTTTAACGGGAGGCATAAATCACGAGTACCAATCGCTCCTCACGGCGAGGTCACATAGTCGAATCCGACGTTTCGTTTGACGGGTTTAAATGGAAACGGTAAAGGGATTACAGTCCCGAAACGTTTTAGATTAAACGCCATTTATTATACCTTGTCGGGTTTAATGTACACTCATACAAAACATAAAAGTATTAAATTTCATCTTAAATTCTTATTACCTATCTCTAAAATATTAAAGACATCAATTCTTACATTGATTGGTTATTCTTTTGTTGAGTAAGGTAAATGGTAAACGGTAAGGCAAGCCCCTAGATGTTTCATATACGTTTTCAGTAGACGACCATACAGTATATTGAAGTTTGCTTTAGTTATAAATTTGTGAAATATAAGCCCGGTGTTGGGTTTTGTGTTCAACCATATTCCCCAATTTCTTCCTTGGAATGCGTTTGTGATCTTTTACGATGCTTTTGGCTATAAAAATCTTATGTACTTTATACAAAATGTCGTTTGTCAATTGAGTAGTCTCAAACTGCAGACTTCTTTAATGCAAGTTTTAAAATTTCTTTTTAGGATTCCGTACCCAAAGGGTAAAACGGGATCCTATTACTAAGATTCCGCTGTCTGCCTGTCTGTCTGTCCGTCTGTCACCAGGATGTATCTCATGAACCGTGATAGACAACGCACTTGGCCGGTTTGGTTTTCTTCGATTTAGGGGTACATTATATAATTCAAGTACAAAAAATCACTAAATCAAAATTTTACAGAATTGAAAGTACGTCTGTAGTGTACATGAAATTCGCCTCGCTGGGTGTTTGTACAGAAAGTTTTAGCAGTACTTAACGCCGAGTCGACGTGAGCTCAATATTGCAGAAATTCCATTACCGCTTTTCTTTGACATCACCGAGCTATTTACTTGCATTGCGGTGTACGGCACTTGGGAGTGTAGTGTAACGCAAACCAAACTGCACTCGTGGAATCCTCCGCTGTTAAATCGAATTTTAAGCATCTTAAAATAAAATACTACTATTTTACATTGAGCCGTGATAGCTCAGTGTCCGGTCGCTCGCCAATTCAATATATTCGAGCATCCTGAGTTCGATCCCCGGTGCCGGTACCAATGAAATTGTTAATTTTAAGCGCTGTCTTATCACGTGCTCAGTGGTGAAGAAAACCATCGTGAAGAAACCAGCATATTTTGGAAATATTGAGAAAAAAATACAAAAAATTCGAAAATATGTGAAGTCCCTCAAACTGCAGTGGCCTAGCGTGGTTGAATATGGCATGATACCCTCTTTACAGAGGAGGCCTTTGCCCAGGGCAAAGGCCTTATATTATATAATATTTATACGCTGTTTCTTTCCTTTTTTTACTACTGTTTTATATGCAAGCGTACAAAGCGTAGCAAGTAAGCTCACGATTTAAAGTTAACTTTTGTTCGAAATATCGTTTTTATTTTCATTTTAGAAAATATGAAAGCTCGCATGTTTTTCCTTCACAGATGAGATTGTGATTAATTTTTACTTAGAATTGCTATCAACAATTTCATTCGTTTCAACTCCAGAATTAGAACTCAATCTGAGTTGGAGTTAATTTATTAAAATTTATGGAAAGAAGTAAGAAATTTTTTCGCTGTTGTGGGAATCGAACCCACGTCTTCGAAATGGCTGATTGCCACACCAACGTAGAGTAAATTTATTCAACAATATTATCCGGGCACGCCGGGCATGATGGGCACCTCACTAACGACACGCAAGACGCAAAAACGCAACATATCTTATGTAACCGGGGCCCACTTTATTAAAATCGCAACGCATCTGCAACCTGTGGGTGTTGCAAATGTCAATGGGCGGTGGTTTTCATTTAGCATCAGGTTAACCGCTTGCCACCTCCTCACATAAAAAACTAACCACTACAGCAATTATTCTTATCATGAACGATTTATCGCTAAAAGCATTTTTTGTATTCAGGGTCGCGTAATTTTCATTACGCTACATAAAAGGGATTTTAAACATGAAAGTGAAATTAATTAACGGGACATTCAAAGGGAGCCCCAGTGGCCACCCATAAAGCGCCGTTGAGAATAAAAGAGACGTTTATGTTGGCGAAATTTTATTAATTACAGACAAAAGGGACGGAGCAAACGACGCAGCGATGACTAAGAGCCTGACCACATAGACTCGAAACAAAACGTCTCAGATCGAGTCCTGGTTAAAACCAAAAAATCGGTTTTCAAATTCCAGTATTGAACTACGAGTTACTTTCGCAACTACTAATATGTTTGCTTCGGTGAGCACGAGGGATCCGTCACAATGAACAGCTGGTTGATGTTCAAACCAAATCAATGTAAAGCGAGTCCTGCGTGATAAAAAGCTCATAATCCCGCGCCCGCGTCGCAGTGACAGGGTAACAGCTACAGTTGGGCGAGTAGCTGCTGTATTGCTATAATTTGGGAAATCACTGACAAGATTGGCTATATCTTGAAGTGTGCTTTAATTGAGACATTTTTCGAGACAGCTAAGAAGATCAGTCGAAACTGTTTCTTCAATTTGTTTGCTGAAAAATATAGTGACCCAAACAATAAACAGCCTGTATCGCTTGCTTTTGGAAAAAAAATTGTATCTAAGCCGGATACGGAACCCCAAAGTACAACACCATATGACATAATGCTGTGCAGATATAATAAACTAATTTGTCTGTTGTCTAGCTGCCTAATCTTGGGTATGGTCAACTTCTTATTTTTTCTATATGAACTCCCTTTTGCAACTTGAAGTCCATGCATTTCCAAGAAAGGCTGTTGAATCTTCAAGGGGTAGGATCTTCTCTTTAATACATATTTTCGGCTTGTAAGACAACTTAGAGTAAATCATATTAATTTAAACTTCACTCAGTTTGTTGAATTCGTTTTGAAGATGTATTCGGGTTGGGTTAGGTTAGGACTTGAGCCCCCCCGTCGTGCTGCCACCTTGTTGTGGTGGAGAGGCTTGCGTGTCCTAATGACCTCCAAGGCTATGCCGGATAGGGTCTCCCATACCGGACAGGCTCGGAGCGAGGGACCAGACGAAGAGCAGCACAAGGAGGGGCTCTCCGTGTGATTCTCTCATCAGCAGAGAACACATCGGATAGGGCCTAGGAGGACGGGTCGGCGCGCTGACTAATCTCAGTGCGTCTGACGCCACCGTCGGAGGAGATTTCGCCAACTCCTCGTTCCGCAACCAGCGACTCACTTCAACGACCTAACCTGTGGATACCTGGGGACCTCCACAGTATGTACCCCACTCCACTTTTTAGTCGACCGGAATGGGCGTAACCCGGGGAGTGCATCTATATCGTCCCAACTCGTGGGAATAAAAATGGAAAAGAAAAATCTAAAAGGAAATGACGTTCTTAAGGAGTTAGGCGTACAGCTCGAACGCTGTGATGCCCAAAGAAAGGAGGATGGCCCTTTGACATCAACCACAGTAGGGAGTTTAGAGGAGGTAGGCGGTATATCCGCGTCAGATTCTGGCTCTGAAATGAGCCTGGAATTGGAAAAAAAAGCGCAGCTAGCAACGCTAGCTTCGCCAGTATGGGTAGCGGAGAGGCCCAGAGAGTGCGCAAGAAGCGCACTCGCGCCTCGGATGCAGACGCCGAAGCAGATGATCATCCGGAATCTTCGGCGTTCAAAAGGAGAGGCACCCCTGTGCCTAAAAGGGGTAGAGGCCGCCCGCCCAATAGTGGGCAGTATTTGGGGCTGGCGAAAGGGAAGCGGGAGCTCATGGAAGCCAGGAGAATAAGGCAGGCGGCCACGGGAGCTCGAGTTCTCGAGCTTCCAGCAGGGGTCACGAGCGAAGCAGCGGACAGTTTCGCCGCGAAGCTCCGTGAGGTCCTCGCCGGAGAGGCACGGATCGCCAGGCCGGTGAAGTGCGCGGATTTGCGTCTTACTGGCCTGGATGATTCCGTCACCAGGGATGAGGTGCTCGCTGCGATTGTCGCTGCAGCCGCCTGTCCCCTTGACCACGTCAAGGCGGGCGAAATTCGGGAGGGCCGCCGGGGCACTGGCTGCATCTGGGTGCAATGTCCAGTGGCAGCTGCTAAGGTCCTGGTGTCAGCTCGGAGTATGAGGATTGGCTGGAGCTATGTGCACGTCGAGTCCCTGGAGCCGCGCCCTATGAAGTGCTTCCGATGCCTAGAAATCGGGCACACGCGACTCCAGTGCACTTCGGAGGTGGACCGCAGCGATATTTGTTATCGCTGCAGTGCTCCTGGACACAAAGCAGCGGCATGCTTAGCCAAACCCCACTGCGCAGTTGCAGGTAGGCCAGCTGAGCACTCGGTGGGGGCTAAGGGTTGCTCCCCACCGAAAAAAGGGAAAAAAGCCGGCAGGACCCCGGCCTCCCAGCAGGTGGATCGGGATTCGTCCCGACAAGAGGAAATGTGTGTCGACTCTAATAATGGATAGGGATAGACATTTCCTCCAGATAAACCTAAACCATTGCGCCGGTGCCCAGGATCTATTGGTGGTAGCGGAGGTAGCGGAGCCTTATTGCATACCCGCCAACTGGATGGGGGATGCTACGGGCACGGCGGCCATCTATATTCCAGATGGTACCACGCCCCTTTCCGTCAAAGAGAGGGGAAATGGTTTTGTGGCGGCCGACTGGGGGAAATACACAATATTCTCGGTGTATTTTTCCCCAAACAAAACCCTCGCTGAGCTCGAGACGCTCCTCGGTGATATGCAGGCGGCCATTAGGCGAGTTGCACCTCGACCGGTAATTGTGGCGGGCGACTTTAATGCCAAGAATACGGCTTGGGGATCGCCTGCCACAGACGTGCGGGGTATTGCGGTTGAAGACTGGGCCACGGAATCTGGGTTGGCACTTCTCAACTGCGGCACAGCACAAACCTGTGTTCGGGTCCAAGGGGGGTCCATTGTAGACCTTTCCTTTGCGAGCCCGGCGGTTGCTCAGGCAGTACGAGATCGGCGAGTCATGGGGGAGGTGGAGACCCTGTCGGATCACTTATATATCCGCTTCAGCGTCCGCGTTCATGGTCCGCGTGCGGCAAAGACCTCAAAAGAGGCAGGTGTACTGGTGGTCACCTGACATTGCGGATCTTCGGCGACGCTGTGTCGCCGCCCGCCGGAAGTTCCAACGACAGCGGCGGCGGCGGCCGCGGAATGAGGAACTGAATGACCATCTGCAGAGGGCGTATAACGACGCCAAAAAATCCTTGCAGCTGGCCATCCTTTTTTTTTTTTTTTTTTTTTTTTATCGTGGGAAAAATCCTTTATGGATTCCCTACCACTGGATTGGGGGAGTGGCAGGGGTATGTGGGAGTCCCGGTGAGAAACGGGTACCCACTAAAAAACCCACGTTGCACCTGTCTCTGTCACATCGGCCGGGGACACGGGAACACGTGGACGCAATCTTCCGCGACCCTCGATGGTCCGATACCCGTCTTGGCACGGAAACTCAACACGGCGATGCGACAAGTAGGCCTCGATGGTACGGCGCAGGTAGAGAGGCACTCCATGGAACCGGAGCGCCTCCCTAATGCAAGCCCAGGGCAGAGTGTTAAAGGCGTTGGCGATGTCAAGAGACACCGCCAAGACAACTCCGCCCTGGGAAACTGCTTCCTGTGCGAGAGACCTAACTTGCAGCACCGCGTGGATAGTTGACCGACCCTTGCGGAACCCGAACTGCCTCTCCGCCAGATTCGGCCCAACGTTTTCCAGATGATCGACGATGCGGCCAGCGACAACTCTTTCAAAGAGCTTCTCCACATCGTCGAGTAAGACTATCGGCCGATAGGCGGAGGGCGAGTCCACGGGACGCCCCTCCTTCCGGATGAGGACGAGTCTGTCTGTCTTCCACTTCTGTGGAATTATAGCTTGGGCCAGACAGGCAGTAAACATCGCCCTCAGCCTGGGCTCCAGGGCATCCCCCAGGGCCAAGGCCCAGGCTCGTCCCGGCATACCGTCGGGACCCGGGGCGGCGCTTTTGACTTTCATCTTAAGGACGGCAGCGCCTAACTCGCCCGGAATCACCTCAGGTACATCCAGGCTCTGGTCGGTCACCTCCGTGCCGGGTCGAACCATCGCTGGTGGCGTGTGCTCCTCCCGCTGTGGAAATAAAGCTGCGGCGATCGCCGTTATCAGTTGTGGCTGCAGGCTCTGTGTTAATGGGGGGGGGCCCAGGGGCGAAGCTTGTTCATCACCATCCTGTAATGCCTCCCCCATGGATCACGGTTGAGTGCAGCCAAAAACTGCTCCCTAGCAACGGCAATCGCCGATGCTATAGCCACCTGCAATGCCATCTTGACCTGTCTGAAGGAGGCGTACAGTTCGGTTTCCAGGGCTAAATCCCTGCGCCGTCGCCTTCGGCATCGGGTGTACCGGCTTCTTGCTGCTAGACACGCACTGCGCATTTGCGCGATTTCCGCAGACCACCAGTACACCTGGCGCTTGGGAGGAAGTTTTCTGGACCGGGACATGGACGCATTACACACCTGCGTCATCACTTCCCGGAACCTTTCCGCCTCCTCCTCAACGTCCAAGTGCCTAGGCGCAGACACCCAGGACTGGACGATTGCCGCCTCCTTCAGGACTTCTCGGTCCAGGCTTCTGAGCTGCCACCTTGGGCCATCTTCCCTAGCCGGTCGGCTTGGGCTGGTCAAGGGATCTGGTAGAGCGGAGACGTCGAATCTGATATAAAGGTGATCCGACAGTGTCTCTACGCCAACAACCACCTTCCAGCCTCGGACACGGCGTGCTAAGGCGGGGCTTGCGAACGAAACGTCCACGACTGATCCGCCCCGCGACCGCACGCACGTGTTCACCGAGCCCCGGTTTAGGATAGACAGCCCGACCTCGAGGAGCCATTCCTCCAGCACCCTACCACGCGCGTCTGTTATGGGCGATCCCCACGCCGCAGATTTGGCATTGAGATCACCAGCAACAAGCACAGGGTAGGGATTCAACTGGCGGAGCATTGACCCCAGTCGGTCAAGGTAGCTCTCGAACTCGGCCAGCGTTCTGTTGGGAGAGAAATACACAGAAATGACAAAAATCTCTCCGACAAGAGCTGCCACGAAGCCTGGACCTTTCCTCACATTACTGGGAGAAGGAGAACCTGCAGCGGTTCTGCAGACCACAGCCGCTGTGCCGGAGTGGTCCCCAGCCCAGTACTCGCTAGGGGGTACGAAGTACGGTTCTGACACCAGGGCCACCTGTGTCATCCACTGTGCCATGCTCTGGAGTAAAAGATCCTGAGCCCTAGCACAGTGGTTGAGGTTCGCTTGCAGGAAACTTAGGATGGCCATTCACTATTCAATGGTCATTTGAATCTCCTCCTCTCGGACCACACTGGCGTTAGGGCGAGACGATGCCGACCGGGTAAAGATTTCAGCGGCACCGTTTCTGCTTTTCCTCTTTTCTGGTTTATTTAAGGAGCAAGCCTTGCTACCAAGTTTATGGCTAGCAGGCTTTTTTGATGCAGCACACACTAAGCAATTGCGCTGCGCAACATTGGCCGGAAAGGTGGCCCGTTTGACCACAACGCAGCTGGCCATCCTGAGGGCCAAAGACACTGCCTGGGGTGAGCTCCTCGCGGGCTTGGACCGCGATCCCTGGGGTCGTCCATACCGAGCAACCAGGGGCAAGCTTGGTCGGGGTCCGCCGCCTGCTGAATCTATTTCACCGGAACGGCTGGCCACGGTGCTGGAGGCGTTGTTCCCGGCCCCAACTGGCGTTATCCCACCGGTGCCTGAGCCGGAAACCACCGAGGAGGTGCCTCTGGTATCCGAGGGTGAGATGGGAGCCGCACTTCTGCGGCTTCGTGGGCGCAAAACGGCCCCTGGCCCCGATGGTGTGCCCGGCAGGTCTCTGGTCTTGGCCTTGGGGCCCCTAGAGGAACGCTTGAGGGAGCTTTTCACCGCTTGTCTTTGGCGTGGAGAGTTCCCACAGTGTTGGAAGGCGGGCAGGGTTGTTCTCCTTCGTAAGGAGGGACGCCCTGAAGAATCGCCCTCGGCTTACCGGCCAATCATCCTGTTGGACGAGGCCGGTAAGCTGTTGAAGAGGGTGGTCGCCTCGCGCATCATACGTCATATAATGCTCGAGGGTCCTGACCTGTCCGACGCCCAGTACGGGTTCCGACCATCGCGCTCCACAATAGACGCCATATTGTGTGTCAAGGGGTATGTGGAGGAGCAGGCGGCAAACGGCAACGTGGTGTTGGCGGTGTCTCTTGACATCGCAAACGCATTCAATACCCTGCCGTTTCGCTACCATCGAGGAGGGCCTCCGATACCACCGACTCCCCCGGTACCTGCGTGCATTTATTGTGGCGTACCTACGGGGAAGGAGCGTTGTGTGTGTAGGGCGCGATGGCGTCCTCGTACAGAGGGAAACGTGGTGCGGTGTTCCACAGGGATCGGTCCTTGGCCCACTCCTGTGGAACATCGGCTACGACAGGGTACTCCGTGGTGCCCTGCTGCACGGGCTTCGTGTTGTCTGCTATGCTGACGACACACTCGTTCTTGCCCGCGGCGCGACGCATCAGGAGGCGACCCAGCTGGCGGTGGTCGGTGTGGGACTAGTGGTGTCCCGCATCAGAGCTCATGGCCTACGGGTGGCCCTTGAGAAAACCAAGGCCCTATTTTTCCATGGACCTAGAAGGAGGCTGGCTGCAGGCACACCACTCCGGATCGGAGAAGTGGAGGTCCGGGTCGGGTCCGAGATGAAGTATCTCGGACCCGTCCTAGACGGACGGTGGACGATCGCCGCTCACTTTCGCCGGCTGACACCGAATCTGTTAAAGGCATCCGCTGCTCTTGGACGCCTCTTGCCTAATGTGGGGGGACCAGGGTCGGTCTGCCGCCGCCTGTACATGGGGGTCATCAGATCGATGGCCCTCTACGGAGCTCCTGTGTGGGTGGATGCCTTGAGTGCCCCGAATAGAGCGTTGCTGCGACGACCGCAGCGCGCTATGGCACTCAGGGCTATACGCGGCTACCGCACAGTGGACGGCGAGACGGCGTGTGCTTTGGCGGGATCCCCACCATGGGACTTAGAGGCTAAAGTCCTCGCGGAGGTATATCGCCGAGTCGCTGAGGCGAAGGGGTGCGGCGATAACGTTTTCACCGAACGAATCGCAAGGTGGCACGCTATCGGGAGGGAACCGAGCCAAAGGTGCCACCATTGTGCCTGCGCCGACGATACGGCGCAGCACACAATGACGGAATGCCCGGCGTGGGAGGAGCCGCGAGGGCGGCTCCGTGACGTCGTCGGGTCGGATCTCTCGCTGCCGGCCATCTTTAGAGCAATGGTCGACAGCAGGGCGGCGTGGAGGGCGATGGCCTCCTTCTGCGAGACAGTCGTCTTACAGAAGGAGGCCGCCGAAAGGGAGAGGGAGGAGAATGCTTCTTCCGACCCGATCCGGCGACGTCGCATGGGGAGAAGGCGGGCGGCTAACGAGCGCCGTCTCCCGCCCTAATGTGCCTCCGGGTGACAGACGTGGGGACGTCTGTCACCTAACGGTATGAGGCCCCGCGAAGGCTAAGTGCCCACTGGTGTCATGGGCACTCATGCGGAGGACGGGGACAAAAGTCCCTTCGTGGTGTGCCCCAGCCCTGTGCAGGGTCGGGGTAGCCGTGGCTGGGTTGCAGCAGAATCGCTTAAGCGGGCCCTGCAATCCAGCATTTGACGGCAGAGGAGGACACCCGATGGGTTTTAGTTGGTAGGTCTGCCCTTCTCAGAGCGGGAGTCCAACATAACTCTCCTTGCTTCCCCTAAGGAGAGTATGCATGATGCATTTCCCATCGTTAAAAAAAAAAAAAAAAAAAAAAAGGTTAGGACTTGAGCTTTGCACCGCAGCCACCAAATATTACCGAGGTTGACATTAGGTAAAGCAAAGACTGTTTGCCTTCTAGTCCCTTAAGTTTCTATTTTTTTTATATTATAATACTCAATCTTTATAGTGCTTATTATTAATTACTAAACTATCTAAACTTATTATTAGGATGAACACGTTTAAATTTGTAGAAAAAAATGGATGAAAAGTTTTTCACCGCTGCGGTATTCTACCAGCCACGCCCAAATGCT